TCCATGCCATCACTATAATAGCCCATTCCTCTACACATTCAGACATAGAATTGAAAAGTGCAGCATGGGAAAGCAGCATATAGGTACTTGCAGAGGTCAGAACTTCAAGTTCCATCTGAACTTTTATATGAGCCTTGTCATCTTCCCTGTCATTCCCCTTTGCTGCAACTGCCACTGTAACCTCCTTGGTCTCCTGTGCCCTACTGACTTGATTCTCCTTTAAGTCCACTGTCATGTGTATGTTTTTGCCCATATGATTAAACTAGAAGATCCTGTTCAAATATCTCCTCCTTTTTTAACCCTGCATTCTCTCTGTGATTGTTAATATTTATGATCAACTTGACATGATTTAAAATCACCAGGAAGGCAATCCTTGAGGTATAATTGTGAGGGATTATTCATATTAGGGTAGTCTTTGGGCAAGACTGTGAGGGATTATTGTAATTAATGGAGATGGGAAAACCTGCCTACAATGGGCATCACCTCTCCCTAGGCTGGGATCTTGAAGTGTATGAAAAGTGGAAAGTTACTGAGCACGAGCTTTCATCTTGCTTTGCTTCCTGAATGCAGAGTTAATGTGACCAGCCACCTCAAGCTTCAGCCATCATAGGCTGTTGCTGTAACAGTCTATGTGACTCTAAATATGCCTTTCCTCCATTAAGTTGTTTTTGTCTGGGTATTTTATCCCAGCTACAGAAAAATAATTAAGACATTGACCCAGGCATAAACAACTCAGCAGTGGAAAAGACATGTTAGGTTGTTAAAATGACCAATTTTTAAAAATTGGATATTTTATTTATTTACATGTCAGATGCCTTCCCCCAGTTCCCCTCCCTAAAAACCCCCTATCCCATCCCTCCTCCTTTTTGCTTTTATACCATTTTAATTACATGCAAGTATTAAGGTCAGTTCTAGGTTGAAGAACTAGCAATACAATAGATGCAAATAGTCAAGGAACAAGCAAGACAATAAACACAAATAGTCAAAGAACATGCAAAGCAATAAACAAAATTCTGTGATCACTCCCATGATAACTATTTCTAAGGGCTTATCAGGATTACCAAAATATCTGAGCCTAATTCCCTGTCCTAGAATCTGACATTGGCCAAGGACAAGGAAATGAGCTGCTTGACAGGAACATGACTTTGGCCAAGGACAAGAAAGTAGGCTTCAGACAGGAATCAGACATTAGGCTAGAACAAAGAAGTAGTTTCAGGCAGGAATCTAGATCTTAGGCTAGAACAAGGAAGTAGGCTTCAGGCATGAAAATGACAGATTTTAAACCTGACTCTTGTACCTTCCTTACTAATGGTGTGATCTTGGACAAAATTAGGCAGTCTTGCAAAGGCTAAGTCTACTGATTTTTAAACAGAATGCTACAGTTTGCAAAAGTTATGGGATGATCCCTGTGCTGCTGTACAATTATTTTGTTGACTCTTATTGTCTTTGTGAACTCACTGAGAGGTCTTGCCCTTGTTGGTTGTGTCACAAGGTACCTTAGACAATACCTCATGCTTTGTAGCAGTTAATGTCACTATAGTCAGTATCCAGATCTGGAAAAGTGACTCAAGCATTAACAAGCCAGTTAAAGTTTAAATTCTTGTATGAAGTGTTCACTGGTCATCCCTAGGCCGTGCAAGTCCATAGCCTGTATCTGACACAGGTAGATATTCAATTAAAGTTCTCTGCTATGTACCATCTGTATGAAGAAAAGAAATAGGACATCTACTATTACATTCTCATCATGAATCAATAAAAATTTCTACTATTTTGGAAGCTGTAGAGATGGCTCAGTGGTTAAGAGCACTGGCTGATCTTCCAGAAGATCAATTCCCAGCACCACATGGCAGCTCACAACTGTCTATAACTCCAGTCCTAGAGGATCTGACATACATGTGGGTAAAACACCAATATACATATAATAAAAAGTAAAAAAAAAGAATCACTAAAAATTTTTTCTACCATTTTTGTATTGAAGTGGTGGTTGTTTTAAAGGACTCTATACCATGATGTCATAGACCCTCATTTTTAAGAATAACGCCACATGTACAGATGAATTTCTATTTCACCTAAACATTTTTGGGCAAAGTAAAATACTATGTTACTGGGCTTCTCAAGGATGCTTCTAGATAATATATAAAGGACAACATTGTAGCTTGGTTAACCAAAGCCTTGACAAATGACCTACTCTGTTTTCACAGTGACACCTGTTGCCCATAACCCTTAGTATCTACCCTCTCCCCACCAAGCCACAATTGAAAGAAAAAAAAGCAAAGAATGTGAAGAGAAAAAGAATGGGAGGCAAAAAACTAAAGAATGGGATTTGAAAAGGTAGGAGGAGTTATTTCACAACACTGCAACAAGACATTAGTATGGTCCTCAGTGGGGAGGTGAGAGAAATTTAACATGGCACTGAAGAGGAAAGCTGGAATGAGCAAGGGGAGGGGTTTGGTGAATGCCCTTACCACTAAGTGACATTTGCAGAGCATCAGTGTGTCCTCAGCAGTTCCCTGTGAGGATCCTGCTTACAGCAGCAGGAGAACCTGAGAATCTTAGTATCAATGGGGCCTAGGAAAAACCTGACTGGTATGAACAAGAGTGTTGAGTCTCCAGACTAATGGGCCTAGGAGTGACCAGAGAACTCGAATTGCCTTTTTGACAACTATACTTTTAAATGACAGTAAAGTTACATCCAATGTCATCCTGAAGGGTAACAGAATTAAACTCCTTATTCTCTGAGTGGAAAACAGAGAGACCTGCCTTTGACTCTCCTCTTCTTTGATAATTCTATCACTATGTTAGAGATTCTGGCCAGAAGAATTAAGTAAGAAAAAAAAAAAAAAAGAAAAGTAAAGTCATCCACATTGAAGGGGAAAAATAAAATTCTTCTTTTGCATAGGATGTATCTTCTATATAAGAAATTTTGAGAAATTCACTGAAACTGTCCAAACTACAGATATTATAGGATATAAGATCTACATGAAGTGATAACAATATTTCTGTACATTTGCCATAAATGATCTTAAATGACATTAAGCAAACAATTTACATGCAAAGAAATACTATTGGAACCTGGTGCCTCTCCATGAACAAAACTAACTCAAAATTGGTTAACACTTTAACATAAGAGTTACAACTATAACCTCCCTACAAGAAAATACAACATAAACCTTTATGACCTTGGATTAGGCAATGTTTCTTAGACATTGCAATAGAAAGCAACAAAAGAAAAATAAATTGGAAAAACATCAAAACCAAAAAGTTTTGTATCTCAGAGAACACTGTCAAGAGAATAGGATGAAAACAGAGAAACTGAAGAAAAAAAAAAGTGTTCGGAAAGCATTTATCTAAAAAGTCTTTGAAGACAGAGTACATGGGTGGTGAGACAGCTGAGTAGTTAAAGTGCTTGGATAAAAGCAAGAAGACCAGAGCCCAGATAGTCAGAGACTATGTAAATGCTTGTTGGGTATGGTTGCCTGCCTGTAATTCTAGCCTTGAATGGCAGAGACAAAATCCTCAGATCAAGCAGCCTAGCAAGACTAGTGGTATTGGTGAGTTATAGGTTCATTGGAAGACACTGGTGAAAGAACAACAGCAAGAGATTTCTAACATTAATCAGACACACTTATCCTTATATACACCCTGCCACATCGCCAGTGCCCCCATCTAGACAATAGACACATACACATGAAAAAGTGAAGAAAAAGGTTTTACACCCCCCCCTCCCCCGGTATATGAAGATACTTTGGAATCCAGTAACAATAACATCAGGAAAATTCCAACTTAAAAATAGACTGAATCTGAGTAGACATCTCTCAGAAAAGATAGGCCAGTAAGTACATGAAACAAACTCACGAGCTCCACTGATACACAAATCAAAATCACAGTAACATACAGCTTCATATGGACCAAGATAGATGTACTTTTTAAAGACACATAATAACAAGTATTGTTCAGCATGTGAGGAAATCGTAACACACATACACTGATGATAGAAATGTGAAATGTAGCCACTGTATAAAACCATCTGGCAGTTCCTAAAATGTGCAGTGCAGAGCCATCAAACTGCTGAAGGGGTCCGAGATTTTACTGCACTATGTAATCAATGAAAATAAAAACATGTCCATATCAAAATCTTAATATAAACATTCACGGTAGCGTTATTCACAGTAACTAAAAAGTGGAAATACCACAGATGTCTATCAACTGATGACTGGATATGCTAAATGTGGTATGTCTGTACAATAGAATTTTATACACCAAAAAGGAAATGAAGTACTTATTCATTCACGCAACAGCACAAATGCAACTTGAAAAAATAATGTGGTATGGAGTCACAAGTCATAAAGGAGCATATTCCATTTATATGAATTAATGAATTATTTACTGGCATATCTATAAGACACAAAACAGGTTATTGACTATGGTTAGGTAGGGAAGGGAGGCTGGGGCATGGGCTGCTGAGCTCTAAATTTAAGTGGGAAAGTTAAATGATAGTTGAAGTATATGCCATTAAATCTGGGATCGAGAAGAAATGTACTTATGAGTGTTAACTGTGGTAGGATTTTGTTGTTGATTCTTTCCTATGTCTGTCACAACATTCTACATATTCACTTAAATGAAATTCCATGTCTATATTTCTGTGACTACAGTCTTAACTGCATAATGTGTTTCAAACTAGATACATTTTCAGTTGAGCCAATACTTTTGATGAAATAAGACCTTTTAGAACATTTATAGAAAACACCTAAACTACATTTTCTCATCCTCATTATAGTCAACATATCAGTTTAGTTATCACTGGCTTTGTCCCCAGTAATTAATATATTTATAATAAACCCACTTTATTAAAAATGACATGACTTTTAGCAGCACATTTATGACAGTTCTCTTTTGTCTAGTGGTGCTATTATTCCTTTGCTATAAAAAGCCCGAATGTTAATTATTACTAAATCTAAGGCACCTGAGAGAACAGAATGTCTCCATCAATTTGTACCTACCCCTTTGGAATCAATCACGCCAGGTTTTGCATTGAACTTCACTGTCTTCAATCGGGCACGCTCCTTTCTTTCCACCCTAATCAAAAAACAAAAACCAGTCAATTAAGTGACAAGACATTTATAATTAAGTTCCTTTTAAGTAAAGAGCACTTCTTCCTTTCATCTGTACGATGCAAATAAAATTTGGTCTAAAATGGTCTACTTCCTTTGGTAAAAGTTAAAAAAAAAAAACAAAACCCAAAAAAACCAAACCAACCAACCAAACAAACAAAAAAACCTTAGTAAAAAGTGTTTAAAGTTCTAATGTGTCCCTAGAAATTTTTGTCTTACATGCACTGAGAGTATTTGGAAGTAACAGAGATAAAAAAATTATTGACACGCTTAATGACTCAACCAGAATCTATTTTAGGAAATCACAGCCCAGGAAAACCAATACTTAGAGTAGAAACAAATGAACCTTTCCTGTTCCTTACTACTGTTCCAGTAAAGAGCATCATTACAGTTAGCTCCCCTTGCTAACCACTACGTTACATGTAATCTAGAAGGTTCCTTTAAAGAGTCTAATGTCCGTCTGTCATTTCTGTAACATCATTGTCTTATCTTCCACTAAATGAGCATTTGCCATGTTGTTAACCAAGGCTATAGGAACAAAGAAAAAAAAAATAATGTATGGTTGTAACAGGCATTTATCACGATAGGCTCTTAGGAAGAACAGAAAGCCAGACAAATACTTCTAACAGTCTCAGTGTGTGTGTGTGTGTGTGTGTGTGTGTGTGTGTGTGTGTGTGTGTGTGTATGTAGTGTTGCTGTGGCTCTCTGAAGGAAATATCAACAAATTTGAAACTAAAAGGATGAGAAAGAGATTGTCAGTAGGATAAAGTTAGCCTGTATTCCAGTTCCTAACTAGCTAGATGCCTGAAGGTTAGTGCCATGAATCCGTACAGGATGAGGCAAGGCTAGTGGAATTGTAGGGTTCTGTAGAGCGTTGGGCCAGGTGTGTCGCCCAAGGAAGAAGAACAATGAATTCAAGGTCACCACCAGATATACAAATTCAAGGCTAGCCTGATATTCATATATGAAATACAAAAATCACATGAAATCACAAAATAACTCAGAAAAAATATAGCTGGGGAGATAGCTCTGTTGATAAAGTACTTGTCATTTGAGCTGAAGCACCTGAGTTTGAAGCCTTTGTAAAAGGACAGGTATAGTGTGGAAGTTAGGGCATGAGTTTATAATCCTAGAAGAGACAGAGATAGGTGGATTCCATTCCTAGGGCATACTGGCTAGTTCGTTCAGCCTGCTTTGTGAATTCTAGTCCAGTGAGAGACCTGCCTTAAAAAGGGAGCATACATAAGAAATGACACCCATGCATTTGTGGACACATCCAGCCATGCACCTATGTGCATCCACATAAACATGAATTTCTCTTTTTCTCCCATTGAGCCACTCAAGGAATTGTGTAGTAATAACAAAGCATACACGAGGAAGGTGGTATAAGCAACCAGAGACTTTAAAGAGTTCTTTTTATTTATGTGTATACGTATGCATGTACATGAAGTTATGCTCCTCTGTATTTGGGGGCTTGTAGAAGCTGGAAGAGGGTATTGGGTTCCCCAGAGTTGGACATTTGTGAGATGCTGGATTTGGGTACCTGAACCCTGATCCTCTGAAAAACAGCAAATTCTCTCAATTATTGGGTTACCTCTCTAGCTCTTCAAAGGAGTAACCTAAGAAAAGGATCCTGGTGCAGTGGAGAACAATTCTGGAAGGGAAGGAAAAAGAGGAGTCTGGGCTCTGCTGAGAAGCTGCTGCCATAAACTAGGCAATAGCAATACAGAATAGGAAAGAATGACTGGGAGGAGAAAAGAAGGGCTTAAGGAACACCAGAAAGAAAAACTTGACCTGTTTCCATTCGAAGGTATAGTTAAGAAACAGGAATCTAAACATTTCCTTGAGTTTTTCAAGTCTGTACAGGAAATCATTGTTTTTATTTCCTGCTATGCACAACACTGAATTTTATCTCTTTATAAGTTACATCTTGACTTCCTTCTTTAAAACATTTTATAATTAATATGCAAGGCACATGTAACTGTAGAATATTATCGCAGGTCCTCAGTGGATGATCATTGAACAAAAATACTATTTGGTAGGCTGCTGTAATATGAGTTTGTTTAAATTTGGCTAGCTTTAATCCCATCTTTTTTCTTTTCAGGGAAAGAAAAGAGCAAGTGAGAGAAAAATAATCCTGAATCTATAGAAACTTAATGGTTTATGAAGTCGAAGCTATTCTTAGCTCTGTAATTAACAGCAGGCCACTTCCTAACCGAGAGCTCTTTTGTGTTTCCAACTGCAACACTGAATATCTGGGTTTCTATAGTTACAGGGTAAAGTTTCAGAATACATTTATTTCAGTGGCAGTGTAGAATATTTGAGTGAAAAGAACTGAACAAAAATGTTCACATCTAACATCAGCTATTAACGCAATATATTCCATGTAGAGAAGCCAGTGCTGAGAGTATCTCCCTGAATCCATCCAACACCTAAGAGCTGGGAGGCTTAAGATAAACTGCCAAGGGGAAGAAGCTCATTGAGAAGAGGCCTGGATCAGAGTCCCTTAGTGAGTGTCTTTCCCCCAAGAATTCAGGTAATTCTTATTAACCTCTTTAGATTTTCCTAAAACAGTTGTTAGAGCCTTTAGCTTTATTCTGGCTTCTTTGCATTAATTCTGCTAATTATGGGGACCACTGATTCATTCCACTCTGACAAAAATGATTGCAGTATATAGAAAATACATAGTTAATTGATTAGAGACTGTAAATAAATTCTGCATAAACTCACACAGAACCCACAAGCATACATAACACAAGGCTCAGGGCAGTGTTCTGACCTGAGAATTATTTGGGCAGAACAGTTATATTTCCCCATAGACTTCTGAGGTTTACTCTTCTGATTGAGTGATCTTACTAGTCTCACAAGTACTCCCAGATTCCCCACTTCCCCACTCACCAGATCCCCCACTTCCCCACTCACCAGATCCCCCACTTCCCCACTCACCAAAACCCACACTTCCCCACTCACCAAAACCCACACTTCCCCACTCACCAAAACCCACACTTCCCCACTCACCAGATCCCCCCCTTCCCCACTCACCAAAACCCACACTTCCCCACTCACCAAAACCCATACTTCCCCACTCACCAAAACCCACACTTCCCTACTCACCAAAACCCACACTTCCCCACTCACCAAAACCCACACTTTTCTCTTATTAGAAAATAAATAAAGACAAACCAGAATAGGACCAAGCAAATAAGCAGAAACCCTTAACACAAGTAAGAGAGAGAGGAAAAAAAGAGACAATGCTAATTTATTAAGGAGACATTGCTTGGGTTCTCTGTGGAGGAGATTAGAACATCTTCTTTCTTACTTGAGTGGGAAGTATTGTAAGTGATGGGAATATAAATGATGGCTAAAGGTTTAATATGCAACTACTAATGGTTCTCATTCTTATTTGTATCATCTTGCTTGGTCCTTTGATAACCCAGCAATGTAAGTCCTGTCAACCTCATTTCGTGGCTGTCAAAGCTGAGGTTTGATGAATGGCAGACAAGAAGGTGATGGGAACAGTTTGCTCTTGCTCCCTTTAACAGCTGACACTACTGTCTGCCCATAACCATGCTTTTGGGGAAACAGAACTCAAAGACTTGTTTTGCCTACTTTACTCATTGGAAATTTTCAACAAATACGAGGGTTTGGATGAGTAATACAGAGTTGAAAAGCCAATATATAAACACTAGAGGCCTAGGCTAAATTCCCCACACACACTATGTCCCATTCCCCTTATATCCATTGTCAAAATATTTTGAATTATATGAATTATATACAACCAGACCTAAGCATATAACCAGTTAAGGAAGCAACATACCATGACAGGCTGGCCTCATATTCAGAATAAAATTGCTTTAGACACTGAAAACAGTTTAACTAAATGCTCCTTTGCTTGCATAGCATAGCATAGCATAGCATAGCATAGCATAGCATAGCATAGCATAGCATAGCATAGCATAGCATAGCAT